TGTTATGATCCATACAGTCAAACGTCATTTCATATTCAGTGAGACACAGATAGACATTCCTCTGGTATTCCCTGCTTTCAGCTAAGATCCATCTAACGTTCGCTACAATATCCCTAGTACCACGACCCCTTCTAAATGGGCTTCTGGCAGTTCTCTGCTGATGTGCTGTTCCAGTCGTTTTTGGATAATCTTCAGTAGAATCTTGCTTGCATGTGAAATTAATGGTATTGTTCGATAGTTTCCACACTCTTGGGGGTCACCCATCTTTGGAACAGGAACAAATACAGATCTCTTCCAGTTACTTGGCCAAGTGGTTGTTCTCCAGATTTCTTGGCACGGCAGCATCTGTTAGCTGAAATATATCAATTGGTATATGCACATTCAAAATATGATTTAAGTCAGGCAGATTTCACTGGGCAAAGTCTGTGTTGGAATAGATCCAAAGGCTCATCAGAAGTCCCAGCATTTCAGCTGGCATGACCAGAAAGATGAAGAAACATGACAGTGTTTGAAATAACCTGAAGCTAGTTGAAATGTGAAATTCATGATCCTTGGTTTCCTAAATTCTTTTCACACATGATGCAGAGTGTCATTTTAAAAACAGAAATCAGATCACATCAAACCCTGCTTAAAGTTCTCCATCAACCTCCAAATTGCCCTTGAATTGGTTCTGACTCATAGCAACCCCTCCAGCAGAATCCTCACAGGGCATTGAATGATTCTTATTTCCTGACTTCATTTCAAAACAAAGTTTAATCTTTTTAAATTTGTTTCATCCTTACTGACCTTTCCACCTGTTCTTTTAATAGAACACATACTCTCCCAGTCACTTTAGCCCTAGGACCTTTGTACTAACTTTTCCTTCTGTCTAGATTGGTCTTTTTCCTGAAACTTTATACTGTCTTGTTTTTAAGTTAGATCTCAGTTATAATCCTTCCTTGTCATAGATGCCTCCCCTGAACTAACAAGTCCAAACTCCTCATCCAAAAGCATATATGATGTTACACACTATCACTTGGTTTTCTTCTTTGTCATAGCATTCTCATTATCAGAATTTAGCTTATTTGCTTACTTGATTTCCTACATTCACCTTCAGGAGAACAGAAACTCTGAAAGCTGCAGTTTTTGGCCCTGGGCTTTCCCTCCACTATTAGACTCTCAAAGCTTAAATATTTGGAATAAAATTAATTATTTGTTGATGTTGTTTATCTATTACAGTAATATTTATCCAATGTGTATGCTATAATATCCCTCCCCTCTGTCTTTTAAAAAACCAATTATGCCTTTTTTATCTTAGGAAGTTACTGAATTTTGTGTAGAGCAACTTAATAGTTTGATTTATGGATCATTGACTCAATGTCCTTCTCAAAGAAGTTCTCCCCATTCTAAGATTATTAAAAACATTATCCTATATTTGCTCTTAATTATTTTATGCCTTCATTACTTCATTTAGGGTCTTTAACTCATCTGATAGTTCTCTTTTTAGCTATTCTTGTGGTAATAGTAAATGCTGTAGATCCAAAGTGCCTTGATGCTCATCAGACTCCACCGCTGTCCAGAACTTGGATAAAGTACATGAGTCTCGTGGCCCTCAGTGTTTTTATCTGTGAAATAGCACGGCCTTCATCAAAGAGTTCTGTGAACAGTAGTTAATTCATAAGAAGCTTTCAGAATGGGTCTACCTTATTCTAAAGACTTCATAAATAGATGCTGTGACTTCCTGCTGTTAGTACAAGTAGTGGTAGTAGTAATGAGTGTACAATAATGATAATTATTATATAATACTGTACTTGGAATCAGTGGGATCATGTATTTAGAATTTCACTCACTCATAAACTCCAAGTCATTCCTGTCTACTTGGAATCTACTCAGCGGTGACCTTACAGCAGATATTTGGAGGCTGTAAATCTCAGGAGACTCCATCCTCCTCC